TATATATATATATGCGCACGTATTCGCACTTTTGTTATAATATCATATCGCGGCTCCTTTTTACCCTTTACAATATATCGTGCATCATATAATTGTAAAAAGTAAAAGCCAGATAGTGCGAGGGAAAGAGATTGCGGTCGATTTTCTACACGGAATCGCAGAGAGAGCGACGGACTGTCGACGACCATCGTGGTTTCTTTTCTTTTTTCTTTTCTTTAATCGATATAAGAGAAGAAAAGACACTCCTAATAATAGGATACATCCAATCGACATACGCTCGAGCCGCGGAACATTCAGCTAAAATCGCAATTGCATATTAAACTACTTGGAGAACATTGGCAGAAAAAGAAAAGCAGTAGGGACGATACATGATTAATCCTTAAATTAACATTACGCTTCTCGTCTACGGTTAATTCGTAAAGTATGTGCACTACTAATGCGTCGTGATATCTTTGTTGATTGGTCATAGGTAAGGCCAAAGAGCGGATCTCGGAACGCGCGGGGACCCCTCGGCACGACATGATTTGATTTACGGCAATATTCTTCAGACACTATTTACATTGTATAATATAATAAGTATAATCGCGCGCAGGTCACCGCCGACCGCGTGTCATTCCGAACATCCGCCGTTGCGCCTTCCATCTTGCTTGAAAATCCTAAAACGACACGACATTAACGGCACGCTTATGAGGAATAGAACAAAACCGTCTCGAATCCGAGAAGGATCACAGATTTGTTTTCTGCGCGCGCGAGAGAGAGACTATTCCACTTTTTTTACGAGATGAGAGGAGATATTTCGAGCTCAATAAATAATAGTAACACTATCATCTGGTATATGTTAGTCCCTAGCATATTAATTTCCCTATAAAAAATTCGATACGAAGGCACGAAACGTCTGGGAAAATGTAATCGTGACGGCGATTTTTCGTACGGTTCTTTCGTATCACCTGGTGCGCTTCGTTATTGCGGGCGTCGCGTTGGCTTAATGATACATCAACTTATTTTACAACTTTGATTATTACAACTTAAGAAAAAAAGAGCAATATGTAAATAATTGTATTTGCTAATCTGCATACACATAACGCCTCTGGCGTTACGTCACGTATCATCACTCGTGAAAATAAATAACAATCGCTTCCATGCATACACATAATTACAATAAACACTCTGCTCTTCCGCACATTTAACGCTAATTCCGACCTGGTCGTCACGCAATTTCCTAATACTAAATCCAATATTGGACACAATCGGATGTTCAGCGTTAAATTCATGATGAAAATAATAGCAGCTTTGTATGCAAACACACGTGTATATGCTACGCATTATACGTTTGCGGAATATTCCAAGCGTTCTGTGATCATCAGAGAGTTTAGAATAGCTATACATACTTTCAATGTTAGTGACTGAAAAACAGAGTGTACAATAGCGCCAAATACCGTCGTGTAGTCGGAGGAATTTATCAAGGAGCAAGTTACGAGTACTTTTAAGATTCAATATTCTCAAAGACTCTACTAGACATTAAAGAATCTGAAGACATCCTGCTCTTCTATAGACTCGAAATCTCTGTATTCTTACTCTCTAAATCAAATTATCTTCTCTGTGTGACGCATGAAAATTCTTTGTCTACTAAAGAAAATTACGTTTGAATCTATTCTACGATATACACAGCATTTGAAAAGGATGAGAAGCGAGAAGAGGAACATAATGTCATTCTGCCACAGCAGATCATCTGTGGAGATTTAAGTGATGAGAGTTAGGAGGTAAAATATTATTGTATAAAACGTGACTAAATGTGATCCTGCTAAAATTATGCGACGGACGTTCATAGTAAAGTACAAAAGAAGCAAGTGTCACAATGTTGTGTTTCATTTGTACTATATAGAGACATTAGAGACACAGAGCAGTGGATCCCTGCAATGTATACGAAATATTATTATTTTCGTCATAAGAGATACTATTACGGAGCTTACAAAATCCGGCGGAGTTTACCACATAGGCAAAGTACTCGCCGAGTACCGTTGGTAATTTCTGCCGGGAACGAGTGGTCGAAGACTCGAAAACCATTCTGCTTTCTTTATAATGCAAATTTAGTATTTTTCTTGTAACTCATAGTAATAGCTACGGTGGCAGGTTAGAGTCATTATGGATACGAAAGATCGCTTGGTGCAATGCAGAAATTTGTGTATCATAGATGAAAAAAGGAAAGTATAAGATTTTGCGTTTTGATGACTCTGACAAGCTAAACGAATGCAAGTAACATGAAGATTTTACACTATACATTATAACGACTAAATGGATAGCGTCTCTCTAATCAATTTCTTCATGGTGTTGCCCATCGTAGTGGTCGATGGACTAGAAGTCGTGAAAGACAATTTGAAGAGATACGGTTGTATATCCGGGTACGAGGTATCGAAGATCAGATCCAGCTCGGCCTGACTTGGCACTTTTGGAATGTAATCGTGCCGATTCATGACCTCGGTGATGTAAAGGATCTTGTCGGTCAGCAGATCGCCCACTTTTTCCCGACAGATCTGCCGTTCGTGCTCGGTGGCCAATTTGATAAGTTCAAGGCGCACAGTCCACACTTCCCATGGTATACATTCCGGTTGAAATGGCCAGCGACTCTTTTTCCTCTGGAAGAATTCTAGGGATATCTGACCGGAACCTGGACTATCGGTGGAGCGCAGTGCCTCCGAGAAACCTGATATCTCACGCTTCAGCGTCTGATCGAGGTGTACCGACGAGCAGCAGACGTAAGTGAAATCAATGAAGTCACAGTCCACATCCTGGTATCCTACAGTGCCCACCGAGTAGCTACCTTCCTGTTTGTACTTGAATTTGCCAAGGCTCCGATGAAATAGCACGCTGTGGAATATACTTGCCACTGCCTCATCCACTTGACGTCCCTCCATGCTCAATTCGAACAGCTGCGTCCTAGCATTCATGGTGATACCTGTGGAACAATTATCATGCTAACAATTAATCGTGTTAACAATTTCTGACAATGTGTTTAATAAATAAAATACATGAAAAATAAGAAATAAAAAATTATTATCTATATGTCTATATAAAGTCATGAAAAAGAGTTGCAGAATTAAATTATACTAAATCAAAATGTTCTATTATCATCATCAAATATTTTATGATACAGTCAATAATCTCAAGGACAATTATATAAAAATAAGAACAATAAATAAAAAGAACATAGAAGCCAGCATTGTTAATAATGTAAATATTTTAAATATAAAACTTTGCACGAAGAAGATTCTGTTTGGCTTCTGCTCTTTTCAAATTTCTATTTCACATGAATAAGGAGATACAAAGAAATGACTCATAGTACTCTCATTATAACAAAGGGAAACAAAAGAAAATAAACAGTGAAAGGTTAACTCTTTCAACAAAGATCTGAAATAAGTCTGTCAAGTCATTAATTTAAAGAACACTTTTCATCAATCAGATCGTTACAGTCATGCAAGCCAGCAAGCCTAACCTCAAATCCATTCAGAATCTAACGAACGGAAGCATGCACGATACATTGACACATGTGGGCGATGAATGAAATTCCAAAATCAGCTCGAAATATAAAAGAAAAGCAGGAATCGACACGACGACGTGTCAATCTTGCGGCCGATAGTGCTCTTCTCGTTCGCGCTTTTTATGTAACGAGGCCTCAGGACGAAAAGACAGGGGAAAGGAGGAGAAGAGCCGTGTTCTACTAGGAAAATAACACACTTATCGCCGAAGGCGCGAACTAACTTTATCGCTCTTTCCCCTTGGTATCGAGGCCACCCTCTCAAGATCGCTCTTCCTCACCGTCGTCCTCGTCGCCGTCCTTGTGCCGTGCGATGGCGGACAAAACTAGATTAAGTTTCACGCGTTGATCTGGTGACTTCTACCGCCACGGGTACCGCTACCCTCTTCCATCGAGTCCGTTTTCGCGCGTCCCGTTCTTTTCACGACGCACCACCACCACCGCCGCCACCACCACCACCACCAACAATACAACCACTATCACCACCACCACCACCGCCGTCGCCGCTGCCACCAGCACTTCCACCAACTCCGCCGTCGCCGCCTCCACCGCCGCCACCACCACCGCCGTCGTCGTCGTTGTTGTCAACGTCGTCGCTGTCACGTTCTCGTCACGTCGTCGTCACGTCGTTCACGCAACGAGTTATTCCGACCTGTTCATTCGTCGACAATCTTCCATCGTCCCCGATCAGTCCCGACGACGGGGAGACCAGGCGCGTTTGTCCTCTCTCAGCAGTAGCCACAATCGCAGCAGCAGTAGCTAATTAAGCCAGTGGCCTGCTCCACACGGGTTTGTGGGTAAACAACAGCTGTGATCGTGGCACACGCCATCTTGACGCTGCGCCACTGATTCGCGCTTCGATACCTGGCCCCGCGAGGGCTCCACGCACTCCGTCCCGGATCGGATGGCGGGTCGGTGGGTCCCAGAGCGTGTATACGTATATTCTGATGATTCTGTTTGACTTCGCGTACACGCGCGCGACGTCGGGAATACGGGATCAACGGAAAATTCTAAGATTACCTGGGCTGGCCGACGAAGGCAAAGAACTTTTTCTCTTTCTTTCTCTCATTCGCTCACTCACTCTCTCACTTACTCACTCTCTCTTTTTCTCTTTCGTAGAAGAAAAGGATCGTCGTACAACACATTTGATTAGACTTCGATTAGATGTTACAGACCGAGTCAGCTGTGACGATCTGTCTGCCTACTCTCCGGGAATCACTCGCCTGGTGCTACATCATGAAATCACGCGATGTATACCATGTATGAAACGACACAATGTGGATCGATTAATGTCTTGAATCAGAGCCGGACAGTCTGGCACTGGATAAACTGGACTGGATCTCCCACTCCGCTCCACTCTGCTCCGTACTTGTACTCCGTACTAATCCAATCTATGATCTACGATAAGTCGCACACCGGATGTGTGCGTTGGTATGCGTCGCGAAAACTGCCGCGCGACGCCTCGCGGTGAGATCAGCGTCACACGTGCGCAGTTGCAAAAGGCGCGAAATGACTTCGCTTCCTGGAAATCTCGTCGCGACGCGACGCCTCGACGCTTCGAAATCCCGACGCTTGCTTGATCGTGTTCTCGAGCCGCCTATCGACTTGTCGACTCTTATCTTTCGAGATATTTATTCCGATATCATTTTGACACATAAGGTTCGTTATAAGGATTTTCATGATATTTTATTTATTCTGACCTCTTTAGCGATAGATTTTCTACCTTCTAGGGCTATATATTCAGGGATGTGCGATCTTTGGATCGATTTGCAAAAAATCGACTCCCAAGTCCCTTTTTGTTAAAAAAAAAAAAGCGAAATTAATTCCTAAAGAAATCTAAACAAATCATCATGTCAAACTAAGAACATCATTTCTATTTTAACGAGATTTATTTTTCGACCTATGTTTTTTGTGTATATTCAAAATCTTCAACTTTTTTAATATGTAAAATGATGATTAGAGATTTGATTTATTGAAAAAAAAAAAAAAAAAATCCCTATAAAAATGTAAATTATTTATATTATTAGAACAGAATATCTCTCTTATCTTAATGAAATTTATTTTTTGCTACATTGATTAAACAATTTTTATTTCTCATAATGAATACTATGCGTTTCTAAAGCTTTGATTTTTTTAAATTTGTAAATTGAAAGAGATAAATCGAAATTCATCTATTTATTTATCTAAAAAATTAATAAAATAAATATAAATTCATAAAATAATTTATTTGTATTATCAAGACAAAATATCGTTTCTATCATAATGAAATTAATTTTTTTTTCTATATTGATTAAACCGCTTTTATTTCTCTCGAATATCATATATTTTTAAAGCTCTTTTTCCAATTTAAATTTTCGATGATAAATTTCATTGTAACAATTTAATTTATTATGAGCTGATATTCCTCGATTGCTTTTATCGTTACAAGTAGCAGCGATATCTGTATATCTCGGACATATTATCGGTTGAAAATAGTCGATGAAAATTTTTAAGGATAGTCAGAAAATGGTGAAGAAACCATCATCTTTCGTTTATAAATTTCCGAAGTCCATGTATATTGTTGTAGAGATATGTTAAACGATATGTTTAGTGCCGGTCGATTTGTCGCCGTGTGGGATATATTATTTTAGTATTAGGTTTACACAAAAAGCCCTTTGCGTTGTTTATTTTACTTGAACTTCTTTATCCTTCTTACCTTACCGCGGATTTCCTCTCCGCTGTTCCGGATGCTCAGCGTTTCTTCAACAAGAGACATCGGTCTTTTTTTATAAAATCACAAAGTTGTGATGACATAAAATATAATTAAAATGAAACTATAAAAATATTTTCAATCGAAGTATCAAAGATATTCTTTGTGGCGAATCTTTTTTTTTAATAACTAATTTTAATTATTTAAATATATTGCATGAAAATATTTTCTGCTGATAATATAATAAAATAAAACAAAATTATATCAATATATTTTAGAAATGTATAAAGATATATCTGTATGTATAAAGATATATATCTTTTTTTGTATGTTACTTTCATCAATCGTCAGTTTGCAAGCAATAAATTACTGTCTGCATTCAACGGAAAAAGCAGCTTTGCAACTGTTGTAAAATTCTTTAATATGATTGATCTTGTTCTTGGTTTCTCACTAGATCTAAAAATATAAATCATACATAATAAAGAATCTTATATAACAGTTACAAAGCTGCTTTTTTCTGAATGTAGCTATTAATAGTTTATGATTGTCTATCAACAGGTGTATAACTATGGCTTTTAATTTACTGTATCTTTAAAACGAACTATCGATTCATAATTTCAAAAAGCTCTTTAAAGTACTGTATCTTTAAACTAAAATGGTTTTTAAAAGTTTTCTACTTTCGAAATCACCGAATAAATTTCAACAATAAAGCTTGCCAATTTTGCTACGCTCCGTATATTGTTAACAATCTAAATTAGTATAATTAGTATAATTAACAATTTAGATTAATAAATGTTGCACTAAATAATACAAAGAAAGTTTTTGAAAATCTTAGAAACATTTTTATTGGACTAGTTAACACGTTTTGGTATCAATTGGTATCAATATCAAAATCATGATTACAATATTATATAATATTGCAGTAATTGAGTGTATGAAACAAGGAAATAGTCTCTTCGTGTAATGTATAATACCCCTTCATAGAAAATATTGCATTAAATAATACGAAAAAAAATTTTTGAGAATCTTAGAAATCCTTGTAGAAATTGAATACTGAAGATAATGATATTAATCACTTATTTTGGATGTTATAAATTGGTCAGTATTAAATTGGATTTCTGTAAGAGATTTTTTATTGCACTAGTTTTAACATGCTGTATGTAGGATAATGCAAATAAATAGAGAAGCACCAAATAAATATATGATATTCTTTCGTGGGAGATTTATTGAACTAAAATAAATCGAAATTATATTGAATTCTCGATTTTTGTAAAATCTTCTTTTCTTTATAAAATAAAGTAAAAATGATTTTATTAAATCTTATAGAACCGTATATATGAAAAATACAACTTATAGAAATCAATGCCTTAAACGACAAAAAATTTTGCCTATTTTACTCGTAATTGTTATTTATAATTTTAATTCATTCAGACTTTTAAAAATATACAGAATAGAGATTTCTTTGATATGCAAAAAAATGCGGTCGAGACATATATTATTTCCTTGTCACACAAGTGGAGATGCATCCGTAATTATACATTAAGATTAAATCAATAAATACTAGAGTAAGGCACTATGGAATAAATAAGGCGTGAATACACGAATAGCACCGTCGTGTAATCCAGCTGTTTAGTCGCTCTTCGTAGATATCGCTCGCTGTAGTTAAGTTCTGATTGGATTGTCAGAATTTTTTTGTTAGTAATAAGAGAGCTGTTGCTCCTGATTATGGCGTGTGGACACGCCCTGATGGCCTGAATGATGAAAGTTTTGGATATCATGAGTTACTTGCTGTCCTCGATACTGATTACAACTCGAAGATGTCGAGGAGGATACGTTGCAACTGTTGTTCATAAGCGTGGTTGTGTTGTTGCTTTGAATAGCGAATGGCCATGACTGTAATTAAAATCATTCTTACTATATTATTGACTCGAATATTTAAATACCTTGATTATGAAGTAGATATGCATTGTTGACTTTTTCGAGTATTATTAAAATTGTAAAATATTAATTAATTTTAAATGTCGATATATCGATAGTGTATTGTATAAAGTAGACATTTATGTATTATTATCACGAGATCACACTTTTTTTTTAAATGTCAACTCAATTATTTGAATCTATATAAAAATAATTTAAATTTACATAGCAAAATAACATTTTTAATAATTTTACAGATAAAATAACGTTCTTTGATCTTCGCGAAAGGAGGGCAACAAGAGATTATTTCGCGGCGGAAAACGGTATGCTTCTTTAAACAACGAAACTAACTTAGAATTAATGGTAGTAAAGGATGGGTGGAAGGTTTTGGAGTGATTCGATCCACCTGGACAGACATAAACAGAGTAGATGACTGCGAAGACGGCGCTCGCGACTCCGAGTGGATCCACCTGGTTTCTGTGTTATTTTACGGAATCGTTATCAAGTCGAAAGTCTGATCGTAAGAACGAGAAATAGTTTGGAAATAACTCGCACTTTAGATTCCCGTTAAAATTAGATAAATCAAGAATTTTATATAATTCCACATTTTGTGGAATGCAATTTGAATGAAATTTGTATCAAAAAAATAACAAACTCTTCATGAAAAAGATCTTAAAAGGTACTTGACACTTAGATTTTTTGGAGTCTCTTTTCATTAAATCTATTTTTTCTAACAATCTGATTAATGAGTTAATTGTTAATTAATTTTACTTGTTTACTGTACTATACATTTTTTCATAGTATGCATACATTGTTGTTATTAATGTTACTTAAAGTTAATTAAAATTGAATTACAGTTTCATAAAATAAAAAAGGAGGCAAATTTGCTCAGATTTTAATTATAATTTTAATGAAGATAGAAATGGGCACTCACCAAAGCCAGTGACAAAGATTTCGTGGTTTCAGTATGAGTTTCACCATCATCTCGAAGTACTGCTCTTAAATGAGCAATGTATGTTGCGGCTAATCGCAACGTATCTAATTTACTCAATTTACTATCGGCGGGTATCCATGGCAATGTTGTCTTTAATCTACAAAATGCCTTGCTTAAAATTCGCATTCTCGCACGTTCTCGGGCATTGGCAGCGTTTCGCGGAGCGCGACTATCCATGTCGTCCTTCATGTATTTTTCCTCAGAAGGATATTCCTCCAATGACGATGTCGAAGCGCGCCGTTTTCGAGGCATCCTACTGTATAATAACAGTTACTGTTAATTAATTATTAGATAATTATATTGATAATTATATTAAATAATGATTTCAGCTTTTTTCTTTATCATATTAGAAACTTCTATTTTACACATTTCACAATGCATATTTTACACATTTTTCTTACACATTTCAGCCAAAATATATAAGCAAAAAATATAAGATAATTATTCATTGAATAGAAAATATGAGTTCTTATTTTTCTCTTTCATATTGAAGATTAAAAATCAGACGAATCAAACTGTACAGCAAAGCTATGTGTTTTATAATGCAAGAATAATTAATCGATTAATAATGATTGCAAAAATAATAAATAATTAATTATAAGCAAAGATAATATAATTATATCGAATGTGAAGCTTTACTTTTTTATGTCATATTATTTTTACAGTAAAAAATTACATAAATTTTTATGTAGCTCAATTCTATTTATTAGATAAACGTTGAAAGATAGTCTATCAACATTTTCTTTTTCATTTTACATGTTTTATTTCGCAAACTCTGAATCTAATAAGGAAACTTTATAAATTGCGAAGTGAAATGTATTTTTTATTACAAAATTAAAAGAAAAAAAATATTTAAAAACATCAATTTAAATATCAATTTGGAATTAAAAAATTATTTTTTTTAAGAAATAATAAAAGTTATTTTTAGCAGTTATTTAAGAACAATAATCTTACAATTAGTAATAATAATTTTGATTATTATTTAAGTCTGT